CTGAAAAATCGAGATCTCGACAATTATTTGACAGGATATATCGAACTTCGACGGTTGAGTGATGAATTTTATATGTTGTACGCGAATAAATTTTCCTTTTCCATAAATATTGATTAAATAATTGTTGAAATAAAAAGTGGAGATATTTTTTCAAAGATAAAACCGCTTGATTATTCTCGTTAAATCATAATATTCAAATATAATGATTCAACAATTGTAATTGTCTTTAATTATCCTAAAATAATTCCATTACATAAATATTTAATAGAAATTATTAAACAATTCACGAATTTAAATAAATCGTATGTATTTTCAGGTTTAGACACTCAATGGAATATTTCTCTGAAATTCCGAGTTATTCACTCATAAAATTTACAACAAGTTGTCATATATTGATATTATTATTAATTACTTGATGTTAATTACCTCAATAGTAATTACTTACAGCACTTCGGCACGTTTTGTCACCGGTAATAGCTCCAAAAACTTAAATCAAGGTAAATATTTCATTTATTCAGACTGAAAAATATTTTCTTTTACAATTTACGATACCTTGGAAATTGTGGGGCGCACTTAACCGAAAAAATAGAAAATCACCCCCCAGAACGAAAAGTGATCCTCGAAACAATCCTGAACCCTCGGTATTTTTGTTTTATTACATATGACTTACCGACAGAAATATCCGAGAATAACGCCCGACTACCTCTGGGGAAATTACCCCAAGATGGCGAGAGTGGGAGGTGAAAATACCCGAATCGATACTTTTCCAAAGTATCTTTGTTATGCTCTCGTCTGGGTACAGACTGGTTACTCTTCAATCAAGATTAATTACCGGATTTTCCCGCCCCTCTGCATTCGAAAAACCGTGAAAATACGCGAGGGGAGGGGAAATTATGACGGCACCTCAAGACGACAAGAACTGGCAGACTTTCCAATTTTCATAGTTACGTTAATTGGTTACTTGACGAGCCCGTACCTCATATATACGTATAATACATGCTCTATGTACGCGGTGGTATATACGCGGGTGCATGAACATTGCGGCAATTTTCGTGGAAATTCAGGCGCAATGTCGGAATTTTCAATTACAAAGAGGAAAACAAGTAAATTCCTTCTAGATTGTAGAATTTAATATGATTGATTTTGGAGAAGATTTTTGGAAATTTGACTGTTAACCGACAACCATAATAACTCATCAATAATTAATAATAATTCATAACTTTAATCTTCGTAAAAATGAATAGAAATTTGAGAAAACCGCGAAATCTGTTTGAACCGTCCAAAAAATTTCCAACATTTCCGACTACCCCAAAAATTTCTACTTCTACTATAAAAAACATAAGGTTGATCAATAATTGGAAAACACCGGTAATGACGTAGAGTTGACAATTGCCAAGGACTACGTACTTTGACTAATCAATTTGTCAACTCCTGAAAGAAGATATTCGTCCGGGAACTTCCTACTCAGACTTTCCCTTAATTATTTGAAGCCTCTCATATCCTATAAAAATCTCATCTCATCAATTTCAGCGGAGCGGCGGGCTGAAAAAAAAAAAATGTGCAAGAAATTGAAAATAATAAGTTGGATGGACGTGGAAGCAAAGTTGAGCTTCTGCTAAATGGCAATCGTGGCTGGCAAAATACATTTTTAAGTTTCCACTTTCCATAAGTTTATCCTTATTCCCCTCTACCTAGCTTTACTCAACGCTCAGTGAAGTCTTGAAGTCTGGCTAGACCATTACCGATAGAGCCTTGCTGACATAATCGAAAATCGATTCCATCTCACCTCCTCAACATCTCGCTGGTGTTCCTCAGCTTCAACTCGCGTTTTACGTGACGCCAAACGAGAATTTATCAGGGCCAGGATAAAGAGGAAATCCAACCCGCACCCAGGATGCAACTATTTCCTTTTGTCCGCGTCTACAGGAACACCATTCTGAAATCATACTTTAACGAATCAGTTTTTATTTTAATCAACACTCTAATAATAATTGCCAAGTACTTTCAATTGCTCGACAATCTCCAGATAATAAATTGTTTTAATTTTTTAGAAATCCCAGAATTTTCCATTTTCTTGCACTTACATTCTATTTATTATATTATTTATCTATTTTTCTAGTCTATTTCCTATTTGATTCTAGTTTATTCCATTTTTACTGCACCTTCA